ACCAAGGTAAATTTTACAAAATTTCGAGTGTACTTTTTGAGTTGGGGATTGGTCCCATTTGTTGAGGTCATGGTTTGCAAAAGCGCCCCACACCTCGGAGTTGTACAGAAGAATAGGCGAAATTATGCTATCAAATGTTTTGACTGCTAGATTTGGGGGTAGCTTGCAAATATCAAGTTTTTTCCTTGTGGAGTTCATGGCACGATGAGCTTTGTCAGCAAGTTTTTTAACTGCTAAAGTAAACTTTCCGTTAGGTGAGAGGCTAAGTCCTAGGTAGTTGAATACTTGAGTCACTTGGAGAACTTTGTTCTCAATTTGAAAACTTGGTGTGGGTTGTTTATTTGATGGTTTTTGGAAGATCATGACTTTGGCTTTTTTTCATGTTGACATGCATCATCCACTTTTTACACCATGCAGTCATTTAATTGATTTAAACAGTTTTGAAGACCAACCTTAGATCTTGATAAGATGACAAGATCGTCGGCATATAGTAGACAGTTTAGTTTTGTTTCATTGGGTAAAATTACCGGACCCGAAGGTATGTTGCTAAATACAGGGGTAGGTCATTTAGAAATATATTGAACAGCAAGGGGCTCAATGTACATCCTTGACGTACCCCCTTGTTATATGGAAAAAACGATGTTCTGTGATTTGATTGTTTAACAGCACATTTTGAATTAGAATATAGGTTTTTCATTAATTTGTAGAAATTTCCATTGATTTTATTCTTAAGTAATTTTAAGTATAATCCGTCATGCCAAACCGAGTTGAAAGCTTTCTTGAAATCGACAAAACATGTATATAGTCGTCCATTCGTTTTCTGGTTAACATATTTATCAGTTAAAGTTTTTAAAGTAAGGATGTGATCAGCCGTTCTGTGGCCGGGTAGAAATCCTATTTGTGATGGGTGTATCGAGTTATTCTCTTTTGTGAATTTCAGCAGTCTCTCATTAAGAATGAGACAGAAAAGTTTCCCAAGACAACTCGACACACATATTCCTCTATAATTATTACAATCGGACCTGTCATCAGATTTAAAGATAGGTGTAATCACACCATTGTGTTGGGAAGATTCCTGCTTTTAGGATCAGGTAGAAAAGTTTAACGTAGGCCTGGAGCATAAAATTTATACTGTATTTAAGCATCTCATTTTTTATCCTATCAGAGTATGTGGACTTGTTTCTTTTTAATTTTTTGGTAGCATTTCTAATTTCTGTTCCTGATATTGGTAAATCTAATTTATCATGCTGGCTCAAATTTTGTTCATGTCTATGTAGTTATTTTAGTATTTCTTGCTGTTCTGTATTAAGATTGTGTTTTGAATGTAAGGTTTGAAAATGTGAATACCATTGTGATTCAGGTATATTGTTGGGTGTTGTGTTCGTTATGTCATCATCTACTGTTTTTAGCACTTTCCAGAATGACTGTGGTTTTTTTTCAGCTGCTGATTCTAACTCATTGAGTTTTTGTTGGTAGAACTCGTCTTTCTTTAGTCTAAGAGTATTTTTGTAATCTTTCAAAACTTCATATGATAGCTATTTCGTAAGTTCAGATTTTGTGGATCTTTATGTTTTTTGTTTGCTATTTTCCGAACTGTGTGTCTTTTAAATCTGCATTCTTTGTCAAACTATTTTTTGTTGGTAGTATTTCTAATCTTCCTACGCCGGGTTACTTTCTTAATCTTAAGACTATTCATTCCTGCTTCTAGGATGATGTCTTCAAATCATTTAAACAATTATTGACTCCATCACTATTGGATGAATATTCATTAATCAGAAAATTTTGAATTTTCTGTTGGATGTTTGGTGATCTAAGGCAATCTGCATAGGTTCTAAACGAGTTATTGTCCCAAATGAATTGGTTTGGGAGTTTATGGGAAAAGTTAGGGTTGCATGTATTATTGGAATGGAATGTATCAATAGTTTTCTTAGTATTAATCCATGTGGTAATTTGGCTATGGTCGGAAAGATAGCTTGGGGGTTTCACAATAAAGGAGTTAATGCTTTTCATGAGACTAGTATTGCAAATAGCATAATCAATTACACTTATACCCCTCATCCCATGGAAGGTAGGTTTTCCAAGCGAGTCTCCTTTTGTTCGGCCATTTAGAATTCGTAAGTCACAGCTTTTACAGATTTGTATTAGATTTTTACCATGGTTATTGGTAATGCTGTCAAAATTTTCTCTGGTATTTTCGTTAGTGTTGTCTTGTGTGTGGTCTGGTAAATGTTAATGGTTTCCTTCGTTAGAAATGAAGTCATCAAGTTTGCTAGTCCTAGCATTAAAATCACCAATGAGTAACACATCTCCTTTTGCAGAGAATGAGGTTATCTTGTCTTCTAAGTTTTCAAATATCTCACTTTCAAAATGTTTTGAATTTTCAGGGGATATGTAAATACCACATAGGAAAAGATCATTTTCAAAATTTAACATATTTTTTGAAATTTTACACCAAAGGGAATTTTTTGTTTTTTTATAACAGATACATAACTTTGAAATTTCAAGTTAAACAGTAAAGTAATGCCACCAGACAGTCGACCTCTTCGGTTTGATTTTTGGGGGGGGGGGGGATGTATACGAAGATATTGCCTTGAAACCAGGAATACTAATGGTTTCGTTAGCCCAAGTTTCTGTAAGATATATAAAATCAAATCTAGAAATATCTTTCAGAAAATCATTATTTTTAGTTTTGTCACCAAGGACCTTGTTAGAAAAGCCATTGATGTTCCACATGCTGACTGAAATATTTGTCTGCATTATTTTGCAGATAGGCTAAAGCTAGTCAGAGATTATTGCGATTAGGAGTAATCAGAAATAATTTTATACTAAATCTAATAACATTTTTTTTATACTAAATCTAATAAATTTATAAAGTTTAACTTAGCAGTTTCTAAATGTATATATAAAGCAGATAAGTGAACCTAAATTATATGTTAACAGACATACCCATATAGAGATTTCACCAGCTCGATGAACTGTGGTGGTAGTGTATTACTAAGGTTTTGAGTTTTTTTCTTCTTTTCGTAAAGGTTTGTCTGTGTGTTGATGGAATGGGTGGAAATGTCCAGGCGGAAATGGTCTTGGAGGGAGTGGGTTAGGTGTGGGTAAAATTCCTGGTGGAGGCATGAAAAGAGGTGGTGAGAATCTTTCGAGCGGAAGTATTCCTCTTGTCGTGAAATTAGGTATAGTCCCAGGGGTAGGGGGTTGGTTTGGTTGGAGAGGTCTGGTCATTTGGGGTCTCTGGCTATGGGGTGGTCTAGAGCTTTGTGTTGAGGGATGGTAGGTCTTCTTATCGGTTTTGGGAAATTGTGAGGAGGGTTGACTTTGTCTTCGGGTATGGAAATAGCTCGACTTTAGGTTTTTAGCAAGGATTAGGAACCCTTGTCTATTTAAGTGGGTTTTTTTTATCGCGAAGATGGTTGTCTGAGGGGAAAAGGTTGTTGTGGGTTATCAAGTGGACATTTTTCTTATTTTGAAGTTTGTCTTTCACCAGTTGGTTAACAATGCCAATGTTTTGATGCATTTTGTCTAGCCGTGGGAGTAATGATGAAACGATTATCTTGCAGTTAGGGAGTTTCTGTGTGATGGCTTCCACTACATTTACAATACTTGAGGATAACGACTCATCATCTGAAGCTGTTTCAAGGTCGTTTGTTCAGCAGTGGAGGATTACAGTTTTTGTTCCTGCGAAATGGGTTTGTTTGATTATTTCGTTGGCATTTGGAAGTGTTGGGCATCTTATATATGTGCACGTTGTATCAGGACATAACAGCTTGGTGTCTATCATACGGCCATTTGAATCACAGAGTATCACCGTCTCGCTACTGTATATTTTTGTATGATACTGTTCGTTGTTAGGTGTGTTTGGGGTGCCTTCATTTTCTCTGGGGATGTTTTCTTTTATCCCAGACGACTCATCATCAAGTACCGAATATTTGTTGGATGTATATAGGAATATTTGTGGTTTCAGAGGTGGAGGTTTTGTTGTGTTGGCTGTAAGTGTTCTTTGAAGGCTGCTCTGGAGCATTGTGAGTGTTTGAAGAAAGAGTGTTTATTTTTATTTTTAGTTCAACAATTTCACTTTGATTTTTCAATATATGAATATACCCCAATTAACGCTCTAGTTACGCCACTGCCAGAGCATTGAGAGCAATGATAGCCAGCAACTATCATGCAACAATGATTACTAATGTCAACCTTTCTTGTTTCTGCACTTTAATTAATTAAACTATCATTGGCATTCAGCAAAGTAGTGTCGAAATTTCAAAGACAAAACCCGTAGTATTATAAATGTTGGGAATTGTAGTATATCTAGCCGTGTATTATATTTGATATTTTGTTCAAAGGCAAAACTCGTAGTATTATTAAATGTTGGTCTAAACGTCGCATTTTACATGTGCCGAATGCATTCAAAACAATAGATAATCAGCTGAAATGCTTCATTATCCATTGTTTTGAATGCATTCGGCGCATGTAAAATGCGAGGTTTAGAACAGGCTTTATATTTGATATTTTGTTAAAACATTAAACACGTTATTGAAATCACAATCTTTTCAATCTTTCATGCATGAAATATAAAATAATATAGAAATGGTTGAATGCATGGTTTTTGGCAAGCGCGCTAAAAATAGCAGATGCATATACATGCATTGCATGTAACAAAACATTTAAGGCCAATATGTTTCTCGTCCCTGCCGCTTCCTTTTTCTTGGCCGCTTCCTTCTTTTTTATTTGCTGGTTTTCCTCTACAAATTTCGCTTCATGTTTTTGAACTTTCTTTTTGATAAGTGAAGCTAACTTGTAGTATTAATCTGGAACTACTGCGGGCTCATTCAAAATCCTATCCACTGACCAAATTCAACGCTGTTCAAATTTAATACGTTACGAGACATTAAAAAAGTTACTATAAAAGCCTTTTATAATTCACGTTTTTAATATTGCGTGTATTTTTCTTACTAAACTGTATGAAAGCTTATTACTTTGGCTAAGAAAAAAAAATAAAAAATGCCCCGCTTCCCTTCTTTTTGGCAGAAATCCGGACGAGAAACATAAGGGTTTTTTTACTTGGCCTAATACGTACAGAGCCAGATTGCAAAAACTTGCAAATAAGGTCTTCTTTCATAGTCTTAGAGAAAAATAACAGAATTACAGAATATTCAGCCCAAATCAAATCGAAATCTGGCTTTGCATCAGAATATGATCCGCAACTCACTCAGTAATCGAGTAAAGTAAAATTTCGATGAAATTGCAAAAACTTGCAAATAAGGTCTTTTTTTAGAGAAGAATAACAGAATTACAGAATATTCAGCCCAAATGACAAATCAAATCGGGCTTTGTATCAGAATTTGAACCGCAACTCACTC